ACCAGCCCCTATATTCCTCAGTTATAAAATTCCTCTCTCAGCTTTTCTCACTTATTAAATAAAAATAAGCCATTCCCTCACACAGAGTCCTCATATCTTTTTTTTTCTATTTTTTTTTGAGAGATTTTTGCTATAGGGCACATATGCTCACTGGGGAGACAGAGAGACATAAAGAGAGAAATCACCCCAAGAAGGCCACACCACAATCCCTTCTCTTCCATTCTCTCCAGATCTTGGGCACACACACATATGCGCCCTACACAAGTTTTAAGCCGCTAGGTCCGGGACTCGAACCACGTTCGACTATGTGGGAGTCCAGTAACGTAACCATTACATCATCTCTTGGTCTCCAGAGTTCTCATTTCTGCCATAGGGTGGGCATCACCACGCCCTCCCCCACCCCAGAGACCTCATTTCTAATATGCTAGGTTTGGTTTAAAATCTTTTTTACGAAAGTTTTCTGACCCTTCGATTTGATGACTGCTAAGACCCTCTTTTAGAACTATGTATTTCTTGGGGCCAGTGAGTAGCATGGTGTTAGGTGCTGGACACTCACACATGGCCAGCCACAGTTCAAGTCCTAGACATGGTAGTTTCCAGCTTGCTTTCTCACTTTCTTTCTTTCTCTCTCTTTCTTTCTTTCTCTCTCTCTTCTCTCTCACTCTCTGTCTGTCTGTCTGTCTTTGGTCAAATTAAAATAAATAAACGACTAAATAAAATTAAACAATTCTTTTTAAAAAGAACTACGTGGGAACCAGCAGTTGGCGTAATGGCTATGTCGCTGGACTCCCACGGCGTCTACCCCGACCGCGGTTCACGTCCCGAACCCGGTGGCTTAAAAACTCACGCCGGGCATGTGTGCATACGTGCCCAAGATCCCGAGAGGAGAATGGAGGAGAGGGGATTGCGGCGTGACCATCCCCCCGGGGGGTGATTTCTCGCTTTCTGTCTCTATGTCTTTCTCTGTCTGTCTGGCGAGTGCACGCGCCCTATAGCGAAAATCTCTCCAAAAAAAAAAAAACAAGAACTACGTATTTCTATTGCCTAGATAGTATTGGGCAGTAAGCTTTCTGTAAATCAACTAATGGTAAATATCTGTGGGCCACAAATCTCTGATGCATATTCTTTATTTATTTTTTACAATTCTTAAAACTGTAAGTACCATCTTAGCTCCTAGAGAGCATAAAAAACAGGCCATAGATTGGTATTCTGATCAGCAAATAAAACTGTCAGAGGCCAGACCTCTGATCTACAGATAACCCACAGATTTATTTCCACTGATAGCCAGGATGCTTCTATACTTTATTCCAGAGAGGGAGGTCCTTTCTTCCTTCTTCAATAATCCAAAACCATCCTACTCATAATAGCCACTTAACCCCCGCTCCCAACACCTAAAAGATAGTACTTGATCATTTAAATTATTTTGGTAATGAGATTCAGCCTTTGTGGACCTATGTCATTAATTCCTAATTGCGGAGTGAAAGGCTTTTGTACCCAGTAAAAGGAATTTCAGAGATAAGGCTGAAAGAAAAGATCAACTACAAAGAGTACACTAGAAAAGTATAAAATGTTAATGCTAATTAACATGGAGCTATATATTTGCACTTTATCTATCATATACCTCAATATTCCAGGTTGGTACAAAAAGTAATTAGTAAAATTAAAATGGCTTAATGGATTTACTGTGTTAGAGGAAAAACAATGTGTAAACAGGGATAATTCAAAGAAAGTATAAGAAGAAAACTACTAATCTGGGGTTAGTCTTTTAAAAAAGTTTAAAAGACATTAGGAGATGGTATAGTACAGTAACAACACAGGCCTGGGCTCAAATGCTTTAACCATTGAACTTCTCTGGCCCTCAGATTCCCATCTACGAAATAAGGAAGTTTTCTAGTCCACAGGGTTGTCCAAATATAAAATTTATGACAAGTGTAAAATTATTATCACAGTGAATGGAACATACATAGTATGCTATCAATATGCAGGTGTTCTTTATTATAATAAATCTATGACCTGAATCCTAACACCTCACCCACAGCAGTGGCTATACAAAGTTAACCAAACTGGGGCACAAAGGAAGAGTCTTGTCCCAGCTTATAATTAAATCAAAGACAAAGTGAGATCAAAGAAACAGTGATTTTTTTTCCCCCCTATGGCACACATGTACTCCCAGAGAGACAGACAGTGAGTAAAGAAAAGTGAAAAATCACTCCCCAGGTGGGATGGCCATGCCACAATTCCTTCTCCTCTCAAGATGTTGAACCCGCTCACACTCAATATTGTTTTTCAGTGGCTGGGTCTGGGGCTCGAATGGTGCAGTGGGCCATGTGGGATCTAGCCTACTTAACTACCACACCACCAGCTGCCTCAAGAAACTGATTTTCTAATGAATAACAGTGTAAAGGTCACTAGACTTATAATAAGTTAACATTTATATTCACAAATCCTCTTCAAAACTTTTACTTTTAAGATACATACAAAACTATAAAAACCATGAATTATGAACATTCTAAAAAATATTCCAAGGACTGATTAAACAAATTATGTTCTGTATGTAAAATGTAATGCTATGGCACCATTAAAAATTACAGAGAGCCTGGGGCTAACAAGTGGGATGATAGTTAAAGTGCTGGACTGCCGGGACCAGCAGTTAGCGTAATGGCTATGTCGCTGGACTCCCACGTCATCGACCACGGTTCAAGTCCCGGACCCAGTGCCTTAAACTCACGCCAGGCGCGTGTGCCCAAGATCCCGAGAGGAGAATGGAGGAGAAGGGATTGTGGCGTGGCCATACCCCCCCCTGGGGGGAGGGGGGCGATTTCTCACTTTTTATTTCCCTGGCTCTGTCTGGTGACCGCACGTGGCCTTTTGCAAAA